TTTTATAAATGCAAGTTCGTAATTGTAATTGTCCAACAACAGTAATCTTTGCGCCTTAAAAAAATATTTTAGAATTTATGTAAACACAAAAGGATATAAGTTTTTATACAGTTAAATGATTACAGGGATTGCCTGCCAGCTGGAAGTTTTTAAAATAAAAAAATATAATTTATATTTTCAATATAGGCACGAGGATTGGCAATTTGTGTTCCACAAACACTTATTCTGTAAGCGATGATGTGTTTTATCTTTTACAATACCAATTACCCTGACAGCGTGTCATCTTTCATTGGCCTTTGCCAGTGCCAAATTACAACGACCGGACAAAGCATTCAGTTCTACTCAATTGACATTCGTCTAGAGAAGTACGGCAATGAATGTAAACAAACACTCAACATTACTGATTCTAATGGTTTTACATTGTTGGACTGTGCGTCAGCTACAATCTTCAATGTTACCAAGGCTGCAAAGACCCGCGCTGTTACATTGACGTTCAAAAACGATTTGCCGGAAGATGGTGGAAACATATGGATTGGGTTTTCCAGTAAGTTTTTGCACATAAATACTTAATACCCTATGTACTTAAATATTGAATGCTTTACATTAACATCTATGTTAAATGTTTAAATCAGTTTTTTACATTTGTATCATATCAACTGATGAAGCTTATTAAAGTGAAGCATGTGCTGATAAACTATGTTATTAAGAAATCTTTTTTATCATTGATTATTCATTCATTATTTTAAAGTACTAGAAATAAGTAATACGAATTCGTTCATTTTGTATTCATTTACGGGAATTTGTTTTCTAGGTGAGGAGAAAGAGACTTTAAGAATAGAATGTGGATATCAAATGAAACAAGTAACGACTGAATCTTCAACACATAATGAAGTTTCAAGTGCTGATCCAGACGGTACAATCACAGCAATACAAAGTCAAACTTCAACAACGACTTCAATAACTTTAACCCCCACTGGTACTTACATTCATCAGTATTCTGAAAGTGACAGCGGTCACTTTGACACATTATCTGAAAGAACAGATACCTTTGATGTTACTTCTACTATAATCGAAGCAACAAAAATGTACACTTCGAAAGAAGAATCAGTGGCAACGTCTTACTTACAATCATCACTTTCAAAGATCACCACAACAGCTTTTGTGTCATCAACATTTACTGCTTCCAGGACGTCTCAATATTCTACAACTTTTGTCAACGTATCCAATACATCTCGGTCTCCTTTGTTAACTCAAGACATGTCTTCAGGCTCATCAAACTCCCAATCGAGGACAAGTACCTCTATAGAGCTTATTTCACCTACAACGTCTTCCAGAAATTACCAAACTTCATCAAATGCAGGCACCTTATCTGACCAGCAAACGATTATTATCAAAGGTAAATACATGTATATAAAGGATGTTTGTTTCTTGTCAGAAGATATATATATAAATATACAAATATACAAGTAATGTTACTATAAAATTTTGTAAAAAAAGTCATAACATTCGATTATTCTTACTTCGCTCCTGTCACTTTTCGAAGGTATTCCATACAGATTAAGTACTTATATGCAAATTCAATTATTAGTTGTCATGCAGTTATTGACTATCTACATTGTAACAAATCTATAGAAACACTAATTAGGGCATCAAAAAGAGTATTGCACATTTTATTGTATTATTGAAATAAATAAAAAAGAATTTTAAAATGTCTAATCTGTCAAAATGCAGTTTTTAGCATTCATACACACAATTTGAGTTTCCAGTGGTCATTTTGGTGTGTTTCCTTTTCGCCATATTTTTTTTCGAATAGAAATGACTTACTTTTATCCTTATTTTAATTGAAGAAGTATTGAGAATTATGTGAGTTCACAAAATATGAAACGATATTGAACTGTTCACTAAATAGGGGAGAAAGTGTGTAAGCGACCGAAATAGCTCACTACGATATCTCGAGAGTCCAGTGTTTGAGTCCCTGTAAGGTTGTCTCATCCTTTGACAAATGCAATATATTGTATATTCCCTCTTTCTCAAAATCTGTTTGTCTTTTTATCATTATTTGCAGATTCTTCTGGATTAACTGTCGTGTATGTATTCTTGGGATTGATTCTCACTTGTCCTGACAGGTGCAGTTATCTATCTCTTGGTGCGTAAGAGATGTACCGATCAAGCGCGTGAGTTGTTGGTATTATTTTAATTATTCATGCTCTATATTTAATTCCAACTTATAGAAATATAAGTTGATGTATGACAGTACTGACAATTATAGATGTACATTATATGCAAAGCTTTGTATAACTTCAAATAAAATGCACAAATTGTATCCAAAAAAAAGTGACCTGTAACACTTTGAAAAGTAGACTAGTTGAGGCCCTTAAACATTAAATAAATAATATCAGTTATTCAATAAATATTAGCTACATAACTACCTAAACAAATACATGCTAAACCTTTATAAAAATAGATAAACTTATATAAGCATTTATGTGCTTCAAGGTACAACCTGTTGAGTCAAATGGAGAAAGTGCTATTACCACTGTAGCCAGTGATCAGCGTCATTTTAATGTCACCGAAACAAAGAAAGAACAGAACAACGAAAATGCCTCTAACACGTCCAACCAAGGCGATACGTTTGAGCTTAATGATAATCGTCCAGCGTCATTGAGACAAAGCATAAATAGTGATGAATCCTTTGTGAGCTTTCGTCCTGGAGCCCAACAAAATGTTTTTCCACTTACCGATTATTTTCTCTGGAAGTAACGATGATAGACGTGGAGACAAAGTTTGAAAATGACTCCCGATAAGATTTGAGATAGAAGATGAAAAACTTACCTCACCCAAAAAAGAAATATCAAAAGAAAAAGAGGAAGCAAACAAGCAACGTAACAAAAAGAGTATGCGTCGCTCCTAAAAAGAAAAAAAAGCAGGTGTAATTTTGAAGACGAAAATAAAACAATCTAATTAAAACAATTTATAAACAAGTTTGAGAGATAATGACATTATAAGCGGCTTTCATTTGCATATTTTTTATTAAGTTCATTGATTGGTACATTTTGAAAGCAATTTGTAGGTGTTTACTTTGCTGTTGTTTCATATTTTTTATTTTGTATATTTTGATTTCACGCATTACATATAGTTTCATTTGATATTCACTTTTTTGTTTTGACCTTCTTCATATTTTTTTTATTCTTGTACAATGTGTGCAAATTGAGGTAAGATAAATGGTATATTTTAACGAAAAGTAGTGCTATTGTAGTGGTTAATAACCTGTTGATATCAAACTAATATTTGAATAATAAAATTTTGTTCACGAAAAAATAAATGTATACGAAGTTATACAAGCACCTTGTTCAAAGTTTTGCCTCTAAAAATGAAACTGAATGGTATAACTCAATCAATAGCTCTGAAGTATTTAATAAGCATATTGAATGTAAATGAACATAAGTTAAAGTTTTAAATTCTTCTAAAGGTGAATTGCAGTCTTCTTAGTCATATGATACGGATGTCAAAAATGCCAAATTTCCACTCGTCGTTGGCATTGGTACTTGTTGAAGTGAACACTGATTATGAATAGAATCCAAATAAATGGTATCCTTTATGATTATGTTGTATTATTTGTTTGTTAAAAGATGTTTCTTGATTATGTACATTTGATCATATAAAGATAAATTAGAACACAGTCGTATTATTATTAACATGTGAACCCTTTTTTGTAAACAGTAAAGAGAAAGTTGATTCAATGAATATGTCATATATCGGGTTATATTTTTGTACATTGTTATGAACAAAAATAATCAAGTTCCATTGTTACAGTTGTGCTCTGTTAAACAACGTTAAGTATTTATATGTTTATTGCCAATATCATTCATAATCTTGGATCTGATCTGTGTTGAATTAGAACAAAAGATATCTTATGTAAATATGATCGGCGTAGAGTCACTATATGTTATTTGCCTCAACGATTAAGAATAATGCAAAAATAAATGATTTATAAAAAGTAATTATCAACATGCTTCTAGGTTAAAGAAGGTTACTTAATAATTTTCATAAATATCTTTATTTCTTTATACCTGAATAGCAATTTTTACCGCACTGCCAGCCCGCTGATAAACTCAGATTAAAGTTGTAAAGGTGTAATTGGCTGCGGTAATGTCAATTTGACCTTACTGTAGAATGCATGCAGTAATTTACTCACTTATGTCTGGCAGGTGCACTGTAACACCGCACTTTGGGGTCAAACGCACTTTGGGGTCGGACCCCAAAGTGCTTTACGTACTTTGGGGTCGGACCCCATAGTGCGTTACGCACTTTGGGATCCAATTTCGACCCCAAAGTGCGTTAAACAGGTACATATGCATTTTTTAACATCAGGCAAACGACCGCACTTTGGGGTCATAGAAAATTAAAGTTCATTATGTTTTAAATAATATATTGTAGTCAAAGCCAATGGTAAAAAATCAAGGCATTAAATAGACACAAACATGTGGCCCTGAATTATAATAGAATCAATAGGGATTTAAAATGATCTTGATTAGTAAGTGAAGAACTTTCACCAAATAAATCACCAAATAAAGAATTTTTATCTATTGTTAAGCTTAAAATATTATTTTCTTAAATTTTCCATTTATTTAAAAGAATGTACACCTTTCATTAACTCCATTGTTTTTAGCTAAATGCATTATTTTCCAGTTTTTTATTTACACATTTTTAAGAAATATGATAGTCTTAGCATAGACAAAGGTATAAATTCTGGGAAATCTTAGTAAGACATTTCAGTAAAAAATGTGCCTGATAATATGTTGAAAGGGTCATTTATTTAGCTAAATGTGACATATAGAAACTTGACTAGGTGTAGATGCGGCTTTAAGTAGTAGTCCGTACAGGCAGTACTAAAAAATGTCAACTATTTAAGTAGTCGACACATTAAGAGCGGAGCTTCAGAATAATGTAAAATTTCTTTTGGGGGGGTATAGAGGGGATTGTGGGGTATTTGATCCCCCCGAGGGTTAAAAATAAACGTTTTTAAGGCACATTATGCCTTTATTTGTTTTTCTTAAAAGCTTTTTTTTTTGATGTCCTTCTATATTATCCAAAAAAAAACGTATTGGCCATTACCTGAACCATCTTTTTCATCTGTTGCTTTTTGGCAATGATGAGTACAGTTATAGTGAATTAGTATTTTATATGGAAGTCAAATTACTACAGTGTTTTGACTTATTTTATGACGAATAATTTCACAGTTATCGCTACTTTATTCAGGTAACAAGCATCTTAACATTTCTCAGATACCATTCTTTTAACATTAATAAAAATTCATGTTTGCTTTTTCTTAAGATGTATGTAAGATTTCCCATAAAAAGCCTCTGGCGAACGGTTGTTCTGGAGCTTACAAAAACCCTTATGTTTGTTGATAAGCTTAATAATGTTTTTGTAAAAATCACTATTTATAGTCCGATCGAAAAAAAATTTCACCAGAACATTTGCAATAGAGTATATTTATTTAGTTCTTTGGAAAAAAGACATTAACTGCATTTTTTCATTCCCAACATATTTAAAATGGGGCTCAATACGGCACCAAAAAGTTATCAAGTAAATGACCGACAGAACGGGATACTTTTCGCAGCATCTTTTAATTCTAGGAATACATAATTTCTGTACTAGAGTATTTTTGAACGGTGGCATAAAAGTGACATTTGTATTTTTTTTTTCTACTTTTTTTTTGTTTTTCGTAATATTTTTGTTTGTTTGTCGTAGATATTTTTTTTTTTACTTGTAGTTTTGGAATACATACTTTTTTTTAGTTTTGTATACATATTCTTTTTTAGTTTGCATACATATTTTATTTTAGTTTTGCATACATATTCTTTTTTAGTTTGCATACATATTTTATTTTAGTTTTTTTTTTGTACATATTCTATTTTTGTTTTTCGTACATATTTTTACATGACGCCATTTGCAAAGTAGAGGTTTGGATAATTACACCATTTATTAAACACCATTTTCAAACACTTCGCCATATGTAAACTGGTTTTATACTCAACTATGGGCTGAGATTTGAAGGCTGTTTTGATTGGCTAAAATATTGTTACGAAAACTTTCCATTTTGTGAAAAGCTTTGTTTATTCACTTTTTTCGCTTAAAAGTCAACCATTTCTCTATGCTGGTACAATGAACAAGTCAAGTCCAAGTGAAAGCAGGATTATATTTATTGCAGTAAATCAAAATAATGCATCATTTTATTTTCTATCAACAGTCAAAACCAAAGTAAAATTCTTAACAACTTCAACAAATACATTTCTTCAATTACTAACTAACTCAACTCAACCAACTCCAACTCACTCCAAAACTCCTCAAAACTCCTCAAAAACTAACCCAGCTAGAAAAGTTCCCAGCTTATATACCCTTCTGTTTGCGCAGCTAGGATGGTGTGCAAAAGTTTGTCGCGCGACCCACTTGCGCTAACCAGTTTTTGCACACAACTCATTGCGCGACTGAATGTTGCGCGACCTTTTAAAAATGCTGACAATGCCTTAATAATGTTCAAAAAATGGCCTGAAATTAGTTCAGGTATACAGACTGTTGTACAATACAAACATTAAGTACAAAAAATACATAATAGTTATATAAATTTTACATGTTAACACTCAATAGCATAATTATTATCTGTCCAATAATGCAACTTAATACATGTAATAGTGCAAAAACACTTGTATTAATAAAGATATATGTACTATATATGGCTTATAAGACCAATACACTTACTACTGATTGACATTTCTAAAACTTACAATACTGACTGATAATTCATTAAACAACAGAAATATAATCTCTCCAGCTTTACAACATACAGCTCAACATTTGAACCAAGTAACCTGTACATAGATAAAGCTGTGAGTAAGGAATCCCATTCATAAAATCTGGATATGACCAAATTATGCTTTGTTAACAACAATTGAGATGCTGAAGGGCTAAAAATAACTTAAACCTATGTACTTTTAGTCTGCGCGACCTCTTATTGCGCGACCCTCTCCATATTTGGAACTAGCATGCCTGGGAAAGCTGATTCTGCGCGACCTTTCCTATTGCGCGACCTTAAGTGTCGCGCGACCTTTGTCTGCGCGACCTTTCCAAATTTGGAATGAAGTATGCTCATAATCTAAAAATAACTGAGCTGTACCAATATTCTGGACTGTTAATGACTCAATTGTTTTACAACAAAAATGAGAAAAGTTAACATAAACATTTTAACCAGCTTAGAAATGTTGTCCAGATATACCATCCTAAAAGAATGCTCTTCTAGTAAAAGATTAGTTTCAAATTTCATAACACTATGTACGAAAAACAAAAATAAAATATGAATGCAAAACTGAAAAAAATATGTATGCAAAACTAAAATAAAATATGTATACAAAACTAAAAACAAAAAAAATGCAAATGTCACTTTATGCCACCGTAATTTTGTTATATGAACACATTTTTTAGATATTTCAAGTGGTAACATTAATGAAACTTTTATCACTTAAGCAACATAAAGTATTGACCGCCATCTTGAACTCCAACTCAAATATTTCAATGTCGCAGATAGAAAATAAGTCAGTACTCAGTATTTAAGCAGAACTCAGATGACACCTTTAGACCTCTTGAACCCAAAGTGCGTTGATATGTAGCATATTAACGCACTTTGGGGTCAATTTCTCGATTTTGATCCCAAAGTGCGTTTGACCCCAAAGTGCGTTTGACCCCAAAGTGCGGTGTTACAGTGCACAAAGGTAAAATAAGCAATGAAGTTTTAAAAACAAATCAATTTGTACTGTATCTTCTTGGATTAAAGAAACAAATGTTTAACACCACAACATGATAAATATATTAAAGAATCAGCCGAATAGAATATACATTAAATAACAGTACGGTGAATTTCTTCCATTTCAAATGTCATTTATCATTTTTACTATAAACTGACAAAATCAACATGATAATGAACATCTTTGTGATTAAAACATTGATTTAAATTTGGGACTTCCAAGGTCGAGTGGTAAAATGCGTTGACCTCAAACGACTTGCCCCTAACCGCTACTAACGAGTTCGGTCATATATATTGTACGTAAGTAAAATAAAATATTCCGGAACAAGATGTAATGCTGCTATCTTCAGACCGAATTGAAACGCTAAGCAATGGTTTTTGCTTGTGCCATGTGTTCGTAGGGACATATCCGAACATTTTACTTTTATTCAAATATTTTGGAATTAATTTCTTACAAACATTCAAGAAATAATTTTGTAAACTACTGGCATATACACATGTATAACTACAATTTCTATATACCCTAGAATATTAAGACAAACTTGATTTGATGCCAAGTTATATATCTGTTCAAGGTCCAATTACAAATTGGAAATTCCCATGTCTTTCCAAAGCATTACTAAAACATAATCGGAATATAGGAGGTCTTGTTAAGTTACACTTTTATTTTCATAATTGTTAGCAAACAAAGGACCAGTGAATTTGTCAATTGTCTCAAACGGTGTATCAATTACGTTAACGGGGCTAATAGGAATTTTCACGTGGCGAAAAAAACGTGACTTTGTCATAACCATGATAGTTTATGATTTTATATGTACGCCATTTTTGTTTCTTTATGCGGCCTGCTTGGTGTAGTCCCGACTTGATACTGTCGGGCGCCTGCTTCTCATTAACAATGTTCCACGTGTTGTTCTTAAGCTTACATTCATATTTTATATTTCTTCTATTCTTATAGATATTGTTGCAAATAAAATCTTTGTATTAGTATCAATAGGGTCAGTATCTATTTGAAGACTTTACGTTGTTCATTTACATTTAACCATGTAAAAAATGTTATCACCTTTCTCACTTATTCACTGGAATATAAGAAAATCTTTATTACAGCAATATAAGACAGATCGTTGCACACGAGCAGTTTCTATGATATATATATATATATATATACAATTGTTTAAATCTAAAAGCACATAAACACTCAGAAATAAATATTTTTTTCTGTCTATAAACAATGGAATTAGAACATGTCAGATGATAATCGCGTATAGAAAATAGCGCTGAAAATGAAATATTGTTTGAAAAAGGAAGCAAACAGGAAACAAAACGATATTCTGACATCCATGCAAATTATGAGCGTAAATACTTTTTGAAAACTTTAAATCTAGTACTTTAATAGGACACCAAAAGTAAAAGAAGAAGAAAACATTTTGAAAATCAATCAACAAATAAGCACTGTAATGGATTATCGACATAAATAATAACATTAACAATACAGTCTTTCTATCCATTATAGTTGTCGTTGTCAAAACAAACAAATATTTCTAAACCATGTGGCAGATGATATGTCTTCTATTATAACAAACTGGTTTTCCAAAAGTGGTTCATAATAGAGGTAGAGGCCGCATATTTAAGGGTTTTTTGTATAAAAAGCCTTGTTTGAAAGATTATTTCTAGGATGAGTCAAATTTCCAAATTGAGCCCTCTAATATCTTGCCGGAAGTATGAGTTATCAATAACATTTTTTTTATGATTCTGCTACATGCACTAGAGGCCCTAAATTCCTCTTAAAAAAGAATAAACTTGAAATATTAGTTTACATGTAATATTCAAAGAAAAAGGCTTAGTTAAGTTCGTTTATACAGTATTTATTCGTAAGATCAAATGGCGATGGGTAAAACCGATATATGCTCCCCGAAGCAGGAGCCAAAGGGACAAGTGCAAGGCAAGAACATACAGACAAAGACAAAAAGTGGGCACATTTTATTTTTCATAAACAATTAAAGATGTAAAGTGAATGTTTATCTATTATATCCTTTACCACTGTGTGCAGTTAAAACAAATTATCTCCAAGGGTTTTCATGTTATGCTCCGGACAAGATTTTTTTAAAAGAGAGTTTTTCTTGTGTTTTGAATTAAAGCTGATTTTATCATATCAAATAAAACAACTGTTTAAAATGTAAATATGTAAATGTTTTATATCATATAGTTAGGAATGCTAGTTTTTTACGTTAAGTTGATCTTCTATATGAAATATTATTAAAATTGAAGCAAGGTACCATATTTGCAAAAATAATAATTCGCTCATTATTATAATAAATTAATAAACTAGGTAGTGGTTTCGTTTGAACGAATCAGCAATCAGCAAATATATGTACATTATTATATATATTCATATAAGTAAAAGCATAAGTCGAGAAACAAAAGAATTATTGAAGAATTATTGAAAAAGACTTCCTGTTTCATTTAAAATCATTCAGATGTAAAAGAACATTTGCATTTCTATTAAACTTTAGTTTAATACCTAAAAATGGACTATGAAAGTTTTCAAAATGTTTAATGTTCAACAAATAATCAAAGTAATCCTTTTAATTGGAGTTTTTCTAAATGTTGGTAAGTAAAATAAATGAACATATTAATTTGTGACATCGTACAACAATTTTTTAGTGTTGTTTATTTGTCTAGGGTTTTTTTTTCTAATTAATTTTTTAATATTTTTTTATGTTGTTGTTGTTGTATTTTTGTTTGTTTGTTTGGGGATTTTTGTTGTTGTTTTTGTTTGTTTGTTTTTTTTTTTTTTTTTTTATATTTTTTTTTTTTTTTTTAAATTTTTTTTTTTGTCGTTGTTATTTTTTTGGGAATATTTTATCAAAGTGTTACATCTTTCAACAGCTACGACAAAAGTTGAGACAACAAAAGATTTAATTTCAAGCACAAGCACAACTACAAATCAACACACGCAAACAACATCAGAAGAAGACAAATCATCTGACCAAAGGACGATTGTAATCGAAGGTAAATAATATATTCATCATTTAAGAATTTTTTATTCTTCTTGTTGTTTTTCCAAGCATATAATGTATGTAATTGAGCAACTGTTTATCTGTGAATTTGATGGTTTGATCCGTATTGCTAGCTTTATATTTGTAAATAAATAAAATGAATTAAAAAACATGTTCATTGTTCATACACATATATATCAGTCACTGAATTCGTATAGATTTATTAAATAAGAATTATTTATAATTTAAAACGTAGATTTTGCTTCTGCCGCTTTTAGGAAGTCTACTATTCAGATCAAGCGTTGATGTGCAAATAAATGATAATCAGACAGTTGCTGAATTTCTACATTCTATACATTAATATAATTATCTTCTGTAAACACAAAACATATCCTAGGGCGGCGAATGATTGTTTCAAATTTTTATTTGTATTTCTTAATTTTGCAATATTATCCTGAAAGAAAGATTTTCTTCTTTCCGTCAGATCAAATGATTTTGCCAAAACTACAGTTATAATTATTGTAAAAATATTAAAAGGGTATCAAGCTTATTTTATAAAACAAATTTCATAGAATTCATCAACATTAACATGATATTGGTCCCATTATCTAATGTTCGATTCTAGAAAGAGTTGCAACATAGAATGTCTCTGTTATTTACGCGTGTAAATTCTACGTTGATATTATAAAATGTTCCCTAACAAAAAGTATGCTTCTGTTTTAAAGTAGTACGACTCCAGATGATCGAAAATATTTCAATAAATTTAAACTTGAGAAAAATATACTATGAGCTTTGGAAAAGTAGAAAGATTCAAGATTTGAGTGAGAAATAATTTACATGTTATGAGCGATTAATGGTTAATTTTTCATAATGTGTAACTTTATATCTACTGCGTTACTAACGCAGTAACTGCAATCTTTGCATATTTTCACTTCTTTTTGTAATTAACGTTGGTTGATAAGTGCCTGTGATAATGTGTAAATTGCCTACTTTTGGTTACTATACGATATTATGCTTTAAATTACATTTTCAAATTTTCATGAAAATAAGCATTAATCTTGAGGTTTGCTGCTTTAAGGACGTTTTATGAGAGTTTTCATATAGACATATATGCAGAATAAAAACTGTTCAATAGAATTTCAAAAAACTTTGCATATTGTTAAAATATGATATGATAACAAAAAATTTTAAGCAAAAACCTTGTGGATGTTACCTATTTCAGTTATGTGTATTCCGTCCTCCTTGAATCAGAATTCTTTAATTATTTGACGTCAAAAGCAGACAACTAATACATGAAAATACGTTTACAAAATCTTGCTTTTACTTTTTGATTACAAATTTTCCTTTCATTGTTGATAAGTTGATAACAATATATAATTACATATAATTCAATGAATTATTTCTTTAACATATTTCTTCGGTTGGAATAAAGGGACTTGAACTTCTTTAAATACCATGTGACGCAAATTGTTATGGTTTTATATCATAAATCGGATGCTCAAATGAAGATTTATGAATATTGTGAGTTTCAAAAAGCATTATTTATAAAGATATTACCGAATTTAACACTTAAAGAAATGTTAGTTAGAAATTTATTTTCGATAAAGTCTTCGCCAGTTAGAATGTATATAGACATTTTGCGTAATTATTTTATATTCTTGGATGTTTGGAAATTGTTTTAGAAGAATAATTATACACATTATAAAACTTCACCTAACTGTAAGTTACATCCTTAATTACAACAAAAAAATCTTTAATGAAAAAGAAAAGAAAAACTTATTAATTACAAAAATGGAAGAAGCAAAAATCAGTATACTTCTTATTCTTTCATGAAATTTTATACTCATGACTCATGAAATAAAGAAAAAAAAAGGTTTGTATACCTTCATGGTGAAATATCCGCCCTTGAATTAAACAAAACGGTCCAATATAGGGGCAGATAATTCAAAACCGAGAACGGTGAATCCCATATATTTTGCTTAAAATGTATCTATTATCATATTATGTAAGCATGCCAAGTTTAAGGAATTCTATTGAAAACAGTTTTTGTTTTGCCGATATGTCTACATGAAAACTCAACCAAAACGTTAAACAGAAGGGTTTTATCTATTTAGCATGATTCCGTGCATGTGCCATTCGCTTTAAAACCATTAAGTAACATATTTATAGCAGATATACAGCTTTACACACTTTTATGAGTGTAATAGAGAGTTTGTATTCTGTGTACTTGCAAATATTTAAATGGGTAACATTATTGTATGTTATCACATTTTGATACTTTTTTATTTTTTTGCAGAGTCGACAAACTTAACTGTCGTGTATATATTACTGGGATTGATTGTTATCATTCTTCTCATCCTGGCATGTTATTTCATGCTAAGAAAATATTTTAAGCAAGCGGTGAGTTGTTGCCATAATTCCCAACGTGTTAAATTTAAATTTTTTTTATATATTTTATGAATATAACTTAAGGCATAAAAATATCAATGTGCATTATCTATAACATTTTAATACAACTGTAAGCATATATCGTGTGCATCAAGCTTTCTATTATGAACGCCTGTAGTTTTTGTTAAAATTTTCAATATATCATATTTACACATCAATATTACCATGAATACATTCACTTAAATTTTATTTCCACTTTTCAAAAACAAGGTCTATTCAAAAACTGTTTTCCCAAAGTAAATGTTTATTTTCATAAATATACGCCATCATTGTAGATAATCCTAAAACTATTTGCTGCCATCAAGGGCAAGTAATTTGTAGACTTATGAGACATTTTTATGGCGTTTGCTATTAACTGAGAAAAGTAAAGCACGCTAACCGCGGACAGGACTTGTTCAGATTAAAGAACAACCAAATGCATGGATAATGGTTACTAATATGCAACAAAAATAACAAAATAAGTCTTGAAATAATGATAGAACTTTATTCTATTTATCAATTTTGTGATATTATGAGTGCACCCTGGTGTCACTTAAAAACTTTCAGTGTAGAAATGCGATTTAAGGCATCCTGAAGACGCTATTATGGTATAGCTCCTCATCAGTGCCCGAAAAAAAAAATCAACAATATTTTGAGCATCTGTCCCAAATCGTCGTTTTCCTAATAAAGATGTTCACGAACATAAAAAATGTGCGATTTTTATGTTTTATGTGTTTAATTTAATTTAAAGTACATACGTGGCAACTATATCTTCAACTGATAATACCGTTCCAATGGCATTATATAATATGAAGTCGCCTAAGTAAAGCGCAGAGAATTATTGGTAAAGTCGAGTTAACAGAAGATAGTATCGCACATTAAAATGACATACTTCAACCACCGATATTCGTTTACATCTTAAAATAGTTATTAATCATGCAATAGTGGCCAGGTTCTTCGGGGCCACAAATTGTTAGATCCGAAAACAAAATGTTTCGGGCTCAATAGAATTATACGATTAAAAGACCGACCGAATTAAGTGTGTGAATGAAAAATAATTTTTGAAAGAAAATATGTGTTTGACATTGAAGAAAGCGGACAACTAAAGGGAATTGGTTAAATAACGAGTTGTTAGGCCGAGTTTACTACAGATTAAATAACGAGTATACTAAGAAAGTACAACAGTCGGGTAATATTTAAAGTAAGCAATGCCCACAATCGCATAAACATGTGTATGTCTTTAATATAAATGTTTCTGAACAAGATTGCTACTTATTGTTCAAAACTAAGATTGGCGCAAATCATTAATATTTTTTGCTTAAGTTTTCTTGTACAATTTGGTTTTAGATTGGTCCTGATAACAATGTGCCAAAAAGGCAACAGAATGAAGAAAATGAACATGGTGAAAACAATGTGCCAGCAAGACAACATAATGAAGAAAATGAACATGGTGAAAACAATGTGCCAGCAAGACAACAGAATGGAGAAAATGAACATGGTGATAATGTGCCTGCAAGGGACAAAAACTTTTCCGATGAAACGATACCTAAGACAGAAGTTAGCAATACGGATATATTTGACATAAGACCCAGACCAGAAAATCATCAGAATCGTACGTCGGATCATAAAAACACAAGAAGTTTGCAGCAGACCTTAACTGATGAAACAATTCCTAAGACAGTAGTTAGCAATACGGATATATCTGACATAAGACCCAGACCAGAAAATCACCAGAATCGTACGTCGGATCATAGAAACTTAAGAAGTTTCCAACATACCTTAACTGATGAAACAATTCCTAAGACAGTAGTTAGCAATAACGATATATCCGACATAAGACCCAGACCAGAAAATCACCAGAATCGTACGTCGGATCATAGAAACTTAAGAAGTTTCCAACAGATCTTAACTGATGAAACAATTCCTAAGACAGTAGTTAGCAATAACGATATATCCGACATAAGACCTAGACCAGAAAATCACCAGAATCGTACGTCGGATCATAGAAACTTAAGAAGTTTCCAACAGACCTTAACTGATGAAACAATTCCTAAGACAGTAGTTAGCAATAACGATATATCCGACATAAGACCCAGACCAGAAAATCACCAGAATCGTACGTCGGATCATAGAAACTTAAGAAGTTTCCAACAGACCTTAACTGATGAAACAATTCCTAAGACAGTAGTTAGCAATAACGATATATCCGACATAAGACCTAGACCAGAAAATCACCAGAATCGTACGTCGTATCATAGAAACTTAAGAAGTTTCCAACAGATCTTAACTGATGAAACAATTCCTAAGACAGTAGTTAGCAATAACGATATATCCGACATAAGACCTAGACCAGAAAATCACCAGAATCGTACGTCGGATCATAGAAACTTAAGAAGTTTTCAACAGACCTTAACTGATGAAACGATTCCTAAGACATATGCTACAAGTAGCGAGAGAGATCAGGTAAAATAGAAAAATACCAAATTTTGTTCGTAAAGTCGAGTTTACTCTAGATCATCGATAAAATAAGATATGAAATAAACGGTTTTCGTGGATATCTTAAAATTGTCTTTAATAATGTCTGTATCTAAAACACACGACTATATTCAAAGAAAACTACTCCTGGTCTATTACTTGAAATATGTTTTTTACATGCAAATAAAAGAAACCCCTTTTTCAGTCTCATGACCAGATGCGGAACAGTGGAATAAGATCAAGGGCATCTGACAGTAGTAGTGGAATTTTTAGCGACAATAATTCTGTAACTATATAGCTATTACTCTTTTACCAGGAATATATATTTCAATACTTATAATATAAAAACTAATTTATATGTTTGATGATTAATTATAATTAATTAATGTCTATTTAATATTTTTTATCTCCTCTTTAGAATAAATCGATTGTCGAATGTGATTATAATATCTTGATAATCATGTGCATTTTTAAGATATAATTATTCTGAACAAGATTGCTACCGATCTTTCAAACCTAAATCGCAAATATTTCGTTTGCTTATTTATTTGTTTTAGAACTCTTCTAAAAACCATGAGTCCAGCGCCAGACAGACGCCAGAAGGAATAGAGGAACAAGAGTGCAATCAATGTGAAAGTGATTTGCCACCGACTGATGAAACCGTTCCTAAGACATCACAATGCAGTGATGAGAGACGTCAGGTAAGAGATAAAAAGACTAGATTTTAATGCAGAGCATTAAAAGATCAAATCAACATTAAGATAAAAGAAATTAAAGAATCTGTCTCTGTTAAATGTTTGAAAATAATTATCCTCATAATGAACTTATATCTGGTATTTGTCAAACAATGTGAAAAATTACTGACAAGTAAAATATATTTTAGAATTTCCATACAATATTTAAGTGTTGGAATTACTGTAAAAGAGTATCGTTTTAAAATATTTAAGATACGATAACAGTGAAGAAGGTGAAACAGTTATTCGTATTTGAATGATTAATTGATTGAAAAGGTTTTGTAAAACGGTCTTGAACACTTAAAAATTGTGTGTTTTTCACATTATGCATACATTCATTTCATTTTCATTTTTACTGAAAACTGATGTTTCATATTCAATTAATTTACAGGCTGTAATTTTTTAACAAATAAGTCTCAAACCATATATTATGTAGAGTGATTTTGTAGTGTAGCTTTAAGCCTTTTCTAGAATATTACTGGCAACTTCAACTATTTTAGGCTTGGCCAGGTAAAGAACATGTTAGTGATTTTAGTAGTGGATGTGATTTTTGTGAATTTTCCGAAAATGATGAAGATGCTGAGATGAAAGCCAATAAAGAAGACACAGATAAGAAGAAGAATTCGCGAACTGCAACCTCAAGGAAAAAACGAGCGATCAGTTCAAAAATGGCCAAACAAGACAGAAATCGTTCTCCGCCTACAAGAACACGAACGGAGGTCGATAGTCGTACTGATAACGAAGTTGCAAGATCAAAAGAAAGAAAAAAGCGTAAAAAAACTAAGAAATGAAGACAAATAAATACAACATATTGAAAATATATTTGCTGAAAAAAATTATGTGAGAATATCTTAATAATATATTTCTTTCTAAAAGTGGTAATGAAATATACAATCAAGGTAAAAAAAAATTTTTTTTTCCTTCTGCTACTATTTACAAAATACTTATTTATATTTAAGATAGCACAAATTAAAGTTATACGTTTTGTGTTTGTTTTTCAACTTCAACACATCCTTTTAAAATTGTATA